TAAGATACAGATCGCCGACGGCAGCGGCGGCGGCGGCGCTGATGATGGTCACAATGACGACCACCACCGCAATAGCCACGGCAGTCATAATGGACACCAATCATCATCATCAGCATCATCATCGGTGGTCATAAATATGGACAACAACAACACTACTACTACGGTGGCCACAATAGAGAGGCCAACATCGCCGCCACCATCAGCAGCAGCAGCAGCGGCCGCGACAGTGATCACAAAACATCGGTCAAAGAGTACGGCCATATCGTCGTCAATTAGCAGTAGCAAAGCGGCAGCGATTGCCGCGGCGGCCGCAGCCGCCGCTGTTGACCACAACAAGATAACAGTTGTTGATAGCCCGCCGACAACCAAAAACGGACGATCAGTTTCGGAATCGGCGGCCGCCACCACTGTGTCGGCCAATAACAACTACAGTCCCGCTGTAGTCGAGTTGTCCGACATGACCTACAAGTTTACGTACGACCAGTCGTCGTCGGCGGCCAATAGTCCGAAGTCGAAGCAAAAATGGTCGGCGGCGGCCGGGACCGGCGGCCATCACAGTACTGTTACTGCCGGCCAGTCGTTGTCGGTAAAGAAATTATCGGCGGCCTCGACGACGACCGCGACCACTGGCGCTGCCGACAAAAGTGCGGCCAATATTACTGGCAATAATAGTAAACGTACTAAAGGTATAATAATTATGATATACTGTATATCTATATATATATATATAGCTAACTATTATTAACTAAATTATTAACCAAATAATTTGGAGTTATATTGGTTTAATTATTAACTTGCTTGTTATGAAAATTAATTAATTAATTATTTATTTATTTTTAGCTTGATAACATTTTGATTATTTATTTATTTTAATTAAGTTATTATTATCATTGATTGATTGATTGCATTGAATGTTTAATTTAATTTTTTTTAATGTTATTTATCTATTTATTATTTTTTGTTTTATTTAATTTGTATTGCATGTATATGTTTGGCTATGTTTTTTGATTGACCTCCCGTTCCCCCTCCACCAACACCACCAACACCATCACCACCACATCCACACAACAAGTATAGGTCCACTAAACCAATTAAAAGCACGACTTAACCTGAATCTCGGTGCCGACAAAAAATGGTCAAAATCGCATGTATTTTCAAAGTCGCCGACGACCACCAATCGTACCGTAACCGTAGCCACTATTACACCGACCACTACCGCCACCACCAACGCCAACAACACAGCGGCAGCGGCGGCAATGCAAGTGTCGGCACCACCCGCTAGTGCCGATGTTAGCCAGACTAACGGTGTTGTAGTCAATGGTGTTGGCGGTGGCGTCGGCGGCGGCGGCCAACCATTGAAGCCTATTAATAATGGTGGTCGCGGCGGCGGCGGCGCCGGCAAAGTTGGCCACAAATATCGCGTACAATTAGCTAGCGATGATCAGAGGTCGCAACATATTCATCATACGTTTATTTCAGACCTGACAGATGTCCGAAAAATGGAGAACACATTGTTGACACTACTCGAAGATTTTCATTCGGGAAAACTGCAGGCTTTCGGTAATAATTATATAAAATTATTACCCGATTATTATTAACCGTTTTTTTTCTTTCACTAAAAAAACATAACAACTAATCCTCTTTTTTTTTTGGTCACCAATTAATAGGTCAGGACATTAGCTTCGAGAAGATGGAGAGTGTTCGCGAACAACAGGAACGACTCGCTCGGCTACACTTTGATCTCAATCTACAACAGGAGGTCTACGGGTGGGTTGACTACTAATACTAATCGATACATACCTGTCCATTGATATATACAGTATATATATATATATATATATCGATTCACTTTGATTTAGTTATGATAACTGTTATTGTATTAAAATTGCTTTCAAAAAAAAAAAAAAAATTTCCAACAAAATAGTTGATTGTTTTTATTTTTATTTAATTAATGTCGAAAATATTTAGACAATGTTTTGAATAGTATTAGAGAGAGAGAGAGAGAGAGAGAGAGAGAGAAAACATTTAATTTTTTTTTGTATTATCTAATGTCGAAAATTATTATCTTTTTTATGTATCCATTGATTAATAACTATTAATAATTGTTTTGTCTATTTATTAATGATTATTAATATTATTGATTTTTTATTTAGACATCAATCAGAGGATGGCAAACGTTTGGCCAAAGATAATATGGCAAAACTTATTGAAAATGTTTGTATTATTTTTTTTAAAAAAATTTAATTATTTTAAATAAAATTAATTTTTTACTTTATTTTGTTTGTTTGTTTGTTTGTTTAGTTGCAACAATTAAGTGATTCAATGTAAGTTTTATAATTTATTTTTTTTAATACAATTATTTATTCAATTCAATTCACACACAAATTATCTAAAATTTTTATATATAAAAATTATTTATTTATTTTTTTATATATTTTTTTTAATTTATAAATTTAGTGAACAATTACAATCCAAGTCATCGGTAGCCAACAAATAACAGTCCACTGAAAGAGAGATTCATATATATATATACTGTATATATATATATATATATATATATAGTAATTGTGATTATTATTATTTTTGAATTTTTAATAACTACCGTAATATTTATTACCCGATATAATTATCGGTAAATAATAATTATTGCATGGATGCGATTGTTTTATTAGATTTATATATATACTTGTTATAATTTTTTTTATTATATATAATTTTATCTATAATTATTATTATTATTATTATTAATTTATATACTATAATATATAAAGATTTTTTTTTTAAAAAATCATATTTTATATATGAGTATATTTATACTATTACTACTATTAAATATAAATTTATAAATTTATATACAATACAGTATTTTTTTTAGTTTTTTGTTGTATAGTTTTATAGTTTTTTTTAGTTTAAATTTTATTTACTTTGGTTTTCAATTACCGATAAAAGTTTATTATAAAACAAAAATTTCAAATAACTAAATAAATAAAAAAAAGTTTTTACATTTTAATATTTAAAATAATTTTTCTAATATTTTTGCTATTTTATAAACTATTAGCTTTTTTAAATAGTAATACAATTTAACTATTAATACAAATTAAAAATTAATTGAATTTCATATACAATATTATATATAAAATTTTTATTGAATTTATAAACTTATATATAAATTGATTTAAAAAAAAAAAAAATTTAATCAAAATTATTAATATAAATATTATTATATAAACACAATTATTAAACAAATTTGTAATAATTAACTAACAAACAAAAAATAAATCAAATAAATTTCATAATTAATAATAATTAACAAATTATTTTATGTTAGACTATCAGGGGTTGGGGTGGGGTGGGTGACGGTGGGGGTGGGTTATCCATTATTGTCCATCAACTCTAACGGTACACCAATGGGCGTCCGATTTGCACACACTATCGGGCGGTACAGCAAACAACTGTCCCGATTCACAGATACATAACTATTTGAAAAACCAAAAAATTAATTAATTAATTAATTTTTTTAATTTATTTTAATTATCGACACATAATATAATTATTATTATTACCTGATATGTGTCTATCAGATCCATGTCGTCGACATACTTGTCAAACATTAGCAAATTTTTCAGTTCAACACTCTTTGTCGACATTATGATTGCCTGATTGGCCGTCAATACTGTATTGTCGTACGATTGTGACTGTATATCACCGCCACGGGAGTCCAGATGAACATCGCTGTGGCCATCGATTAGGACCTGTTGGGTACGGGACTCGAGTCTAACGGTAATATTAATTATTATTATTACAAATAATTAATTAATTAATTGACAATACCTTAGATCGTGATATAGATTACCACGAATTGAATTGGTTTCCAATGTATTGTTGATGGTATAGCCGCCCAGCGATTGTCTCATCAAACTGTTGCCATCATTGCCACTATTGCTACCATCGTTGGTCTGGATGGTCAACTCGTGCGGATCAACATTCAATTGGATATTATTATCATTATTATTATTATCATTGCCATCACCACCGTTGGCAGCCATCGACGACATCACATCCAGTTTAGGATTGGTTGACCGGATCTGAAAATTGTTTGACTGGATCTCCAGTTTATCATTATCTATGAAAATAATAATGCCATTAAAAACAACATTATTATTATTATTATTAACTTTATTTGTATTATTTATTTTACATAATATATAAATAATATCAAATTCAAGGCACAGAATATTCTCTCTCTCTCTCTCTCTCACTCTCTCTCTCACTCTCTCACTCTCTCTCTCTCTCTCTCTCTCTCTCTCTCTCTCTCTCTCTCTCTCTCTCTCTCTCTTTCTCTCTCTCTCTCTCTCTTTCACTCTCTCTTTCTGTATAAAAAAATTAAATATTCAAAAATAAATATATATTTATATATATATATATATTTGTGTTTTTGTTTTTCTCCGATTGAAATGTTTTGTTTGCATTTTGACTGTTCATCAGAAAAACAATACAAACACACAGAATATTCTGTGAAATAAAACATCAAATTTTTATTTCGTGTGAAATAAAAACTCAAAAAAAAAACGATTTCAATAGTATTAGGCAAACAAACAAACAAACAGTCAAATACTGGGAAAACAAAAAAAATATTTTGTATTTTTCTATTGAAAAAAAATGCAAATTATATATACAATAGAAAAAAAACTAACATTTATTATATATAACTATATATATATATATATATATATATATATATATATATATATTGTATTTTTGTGTTTGTTTGTATGTATGTGATTGACACATAACAATGTAATCGTTAAATCCTAAACCAAAAAAAATAGATTTATTTTTGTTGTTGTGTTGTATTAAATTTGTATAAACTATTGTTGTTTTTTTGTATTATTTATTTATATTATTTATCTCTAATACAAACCTAATGTCAGACTATTATCCCAGATATCTGTATTTTTTAGCTGAAATAATCCATGATTTTCAGCTGAATTCATAGTCAA